AAATTTAAAGTAAGTTCAACGTTTAATGAAATATAAGTTTTTCTTTACCACAATATCTGATTATTTATCTTATTATCTGACTACAACCGATACGTGTCGATACATAACTACTACGTAGTAGCATAGACAAAAATAATTTAATATTGACCGTCAGCTGTGCTGTGGTTACCATGGTTACCATAGGTTCTGGCGCACACCGCTGGGAGCGCCGTGTTGTATGTAGCACGTACGCTGTAACTACATCACGCTCCCAGCAGTGTGCGCCAGAACCTATGGTAACCACAGCACAGCTGAAGGTCTATATTTAATTCCTTTTTTGCCTATGGCAGTAGTTATAAAACTGTTACGTTGTTTGGTTTCTAATCTGAAGAGTTGGTTTAGGGGTTTTACGAACTTTTATCTGGCACTAGAGAAACATATTTAGCGTCCTAGGAGTCAATGATTTAAAAACATGATTTAAGCTAAAATTGGTTAAATTCTAAAATGTACTAAGAAAATGTCTACAGATTTAAATTAAAGTGACTTTAGATACTTATACAGCTTTACTGTATATCTAAATCTTAATATACGTAAAACAAACACATTACATCTTGTTAAAACAAATATACTGTATTGTATACGACCAAAAAAATTATTGGTGCATGAATAATAACAATAACTGTAGATAGTGGAGTAGGCCTAGATAAGTTATATTGAAAATAAATAACATTTTAAAATTTTATAATCTCAGAATGGTTAAAATTTCAAAATTTAAATGCTCTCACAAATTATAATTAGCAGGTTGTTTTTACAATAAAAGATTCATAAAAATAGTAAAACTGAAACGGTTTGTCTTAACAATAAAAGATTCATAAAAATATTAAAACTGAAAAGCACCTTAGTTAAAGAAAAGTACAACACAACTTGTGCTACAGGGTTTCAAGATTCTCAAAGGACACAATACTTGTACAGTACATTATGATTGTGTAATCGCTGTCATTTGATGAGTTTTTTAAATGTTTTTGGGGTATGCAAGATATTAAGGCATAGAGGCCAAAATCCAAGTTTAAATATATGACATTAGAGTTAAGCATGAAAGAGTGATTCACCAACTGAACTTTTTTGTGTACAATTAAATCGTAACGCATATTTTAAATAAATTGTATTGGCAAGTAATGGACAAAAAATAATATAAACTAGGGTAAGAAGGAGAATAAAACAAAAAAGCATGTTCATAAATATTTGAAAGAAAACATTTAATGAATTGAAATGACTAACAATAACAAATTGAGTTATGAAAACCCGAAATAAACTAAAAATTAGGAACTTCGAAAATTCTTAAGTACTACAATCGAGTTTAGAGATACTGTAGATGTGCTCTAACATTCAGAGTAAAAAACCTTAATTGCAATAAATGGAAATATTTTTGTGAGTTTGAACTAAACAAACGGATTTATGATAATAAGTAATCATAAACACAGTATTATGCATAATCTAAGTGCAAACATGAGTGCGAATAGCACAAAACGCTATGAACCAGTAGCACGAAACATACCACCAGTACGGTATTACTTTTTTCAACAACCAAAATACAAGGGTATACTTTTTTGGGTTTTGATTACAATCGTTTTATTCATTGCATGTAAGAGAGAGAAAAGTAAGTGTTCATAATTATAACTTATCTCTCTATCAACATTCAAACAAAACATATCTTAACAACTTTGTTCGAAAACGTAACATTACAAAAAGCCTAAATTAAACAAAACATAATGGCTTACAACATGAAAACATCACATTCTCATTGCACTTTGATTGGAATGAACCAAAATCACATGAGTATTTTAAAATGTAGTTTAGTTTTGAGACATTTTAAGGCTAGTTTCACAGTTGGACAGGTGGTTTTCACCATTGGAACTTTCTCACAACGCAATATGGGCATTTGAAACCGAAAATTATTCAAATTATCTGAAAACCAAACAGATAATATTTATGTTAACCGTATGTTTAACAGTGATTTTAACATTTTCAAACTGTTAACATAAAATAATTAGGTTACTGGTGGAAAGAACATTAGCTTTTTAAACAGTGATTCATTGTATAAAAACACTAAGTTTTAATTTTTGAAATATATTTTGTAAGTACATTTGTAGTTAGCCTTTTAATGCTATAAAAAGAAGATATAGTAAAATATGGAAACTACCACGTCTTGAAATGGTTGATAATATATTCGCACCATTTTTAAAAAAGCTATCAAACTAACAATGAGTGATCAGATTAACAATTTCTCTTGCTCCTAAAGTCCGAACAAAAATTTTCGTAGGCATCAGCTGTAATAAAAAAAATGGTCTATGACGAGCATGAGAAAACATGTTGGTAATATTTAAGTTGTCTTAAATATTGTTGTTTTCATGAAAACTGAAAATATGCCACTGCAAATGACGTCTCCATTTCGCCTTGTATGAACAAAGATGGCAGGAAAAACTATAAGGTATTTTACAGCTGTTTTTCATATGACGGACCAAACGTGATCTGCGGATGAATCTTCCACCGCAATCGGCACACTCAAATCGTCTTGCAGTGGTCAACTGTTGTATCTGTGATTGCATGCAGGTCCCCTCATCAAAATGTCTTGATATCCCTTTTCTGTCTCTGTAACCCTTCTTGCAGATAGCACATATGTAATTCTTACCAAACGTTGCCTTCTGGTCACTGCCTAGAATCAAAGATATTCCGTGGAAAATTGCAATGATAGAGATTTTTGTGGGATAAAAATTGTTACGACAAGCATGCAAAAAGTCCCTATTCTAGAGGTTAAATAGCTTTTAGCCAACGTAATCTTAGGCCGTAAAAATGGCGACCGGTTTTGTTTATTAGTTAATATGTTTGTTTATGTTCGTATTCTTCGTCTTGTGTATGTGTTTTGAAGAGTATCTCACTACTTCTTAGGAGCGACAACCATGTCTAAGGCTTGACAATGACACCAAAAGGGTGTCGAAACCGGTAGCCACACAGACGACCGAGGATAACGTTGGAAAAAAGAGTATTCAACCTCTTGAATGGCTACTGTTCAGTAATCCGGAAAGCAACACATAAATTGATTAAATGCAAAATGACATTAATCAAAAAGGGATATGTTTTTATTAAATTTTCACACTTCATTTTGGGCATATATATTTATATAATTTTACTGTGGTTGTTGCATAGTTCATAACTTAAAATAAATAAAATAATAAATAAAATAAACAAATAAAAACAAAACAAAATAACATGCAAAATAAGTGCAAGGAAAACTTTCCACTAGCGTAGAAACACAAAAATAAAAAAAATATATAAAACATGCAATGAAGGTAGTTCCTTATTCACTCACATTAAGATTTATAAACCTAGAAGCATATAGAAAACTGAAGTGAACAGTCTAAAATGAATATGTGGCATAACTACATACTTTTTGTCCTAATATTCACATTACAAATTTTTTTTTACCTTTTTATCGAAAAGTTAATGAATATTCTCATAACATTATATAGATGATATGATATGTGAATAAGATAAAAAGACGGTTGAGCTTTTTACTCACACATTAATAAAAAAAGTTATTTATTGGCATAGACAAAATAGGTATAATAAAAACATGCATGTCTTTTAATACTTTACTCTCAACATACAATACTCATACAGTCTTGAAGGTATTAAGATGTGTAAAAACAAGTATTGGAAGCTTTGAATAAACAGTTTAGCCTTCTTTGTAAATTAAATTTAGTAGGCAGATAAATCAAATGATTATATTACTTGCAGCAACAAAATCAGTGTTAATATGAACACCCGCACATCAAAGGTTACTTAGGCAAATAATATTTATGTCGGACTAAATAGATTCAGCATTTTCAAAACAAAATACAGTATAACTTAAACTAAGGTTAACAGTGATGTTATTAACAAGTTTTAACACTCATGTTAACTTAAAGCATTGACTTTTGGACAGTCAAAGTTTAAAGGTAAGCATGAATAAGTTCTTAGTTGAATAAACAATCAACATACTCAAAATGGTATTAATGTACCAAAAACATCGTTTTAGGTTCGTTTCGATCGATGTTTTGTCGTTTTTCGTGCAACGCTGAAATCTCTTATCTTGGGTTGATTTTAGCGCATTACAAATTAATTTTTCGTTTCCTGTTGAGTTTTCAAAAAGTGAATAACTTAGATATAACAATAACTAATTTAGTTAATAATTTAAGATAAAACAAATTACTGACTAACATTGTTTGTATTTCACAACTAGGTGCATTAATTACATTTTCCGCTATAGCAACATAAAATGCAGCAACTGTACACGTTCTAGTGTGTGCGTATTTTAGTGATATGACTACAACCACGTTTCCAAAACTTTTACACCAAAGTCCAATTGATGTTCAATTGGATTTTAAGATTTTTAAATTTTTACGACCAAATGAAAAAAACTTAATTTGGGAAAAGGAGATATTTTAGAATTGAAGATATATAGAAAAACAATAAATCATAACAATCTTTAATAAAACAATTCCCAAATGGGGCTACATGCCAATGTTCAAGAAAAGCAACATTTTCTGCAGAAAAGACTCGTTTTCGAATTTAAATTGTTTCATTTTTGACAAGCTAGGCTTGGACAGTCAAAGTGGACTTTGTTGAATATTGGTCTTCCGGTGATAACAGAGCCGTTCAACTGGCGAAAAAGTGGCTTAAATACATTGCAGTCCATCTTCGCAAGCTACACTTGACCCAATGGTATTTAACGCAACAATGTACTGAAATTGTTGAGCTGCAGCTTGTCCGAAGATGAATTGCAGCAACCATTGGCTATCGGATCAATAGTGAAAGCTGCAAAGCATCCAAAACGTCAGCCAGTGTTTTCACCGGTTCGGTCACGTAGTCTTCAACCAAAACCCAAGAATGACATGAGGTTTTTGGATACACATTTTTAAGGTTTAATACACTTCAAACAATTCACTGGGTTTCAGATTGTTTATAACACTGAATAAATACTACTATACAGGAGTTCCGTTTCCGTCAGTGTTGACGACGAACATGAATGGTTGATCTGATCCGCAGACTTCCTTTAGATGTTGCAACAAATCTCGCTTGTGAAGAAACCTGTGACGACACCTCATGCAGACGAAAGTATAGTTGAAGTTGTCCACGTCCTTGCCAACTGCACAAAACAAAATTATCTATTGAATTTTGTTTTTAACTCGTATATAAAATGCACGTGAAAAGACTAGTGCCACTCTTTGAATTTTGTTGAGAATCTTCTAACTAAATTAAAAGTATTTTAAAAATTATTCCACCATCAATTGGTGTAAATGTTGCAAAAAAGCCAGTGACACATAAGTTGGATGTATGGTTGTTAGTCATGCTTTGCTTTCAGTAATTTTAACTCTTGGTGGGTGTAGGACGATATAACCCTATTGAAACGAAAAGTTTTGCTTAGCTTTCGAGTGTGAACTGCGAGCGCGGGTGAGATGGTGACTCCAAGTGCAAACTGATTTAGGCTCTGACGATAGGCAAGGACAACTAAGTAAGCAACTAGTTGGGTGGTTGCATGTACACCATTACTTCCAACCCCTTTACCCATTCCAAAATTCAATCACCAGTTTTATACGTATCGGTAACTACTAAGGCACATTGACACCCGATGTGAAATGGAATGAAAATTTTTCTTTAGGAAAACTTAGGATCGGTTCTTTTCTAACTAACCTCTGAATGTTGAGATTCTATTAGAAGTAAGTTAACGGCCCCTAACCTAATCCAACTCAACCTAAATGTAAAAGTTTTATTTCCTGTAGTATTTGAATTTACAGTATAGTCTCCAAAAACAAAAATGTTAAGGAAATGTTACAACTATCTCTCCAAATATCACTGTGATGTTGGCCTATACAAATAATACAGACACTTTTCTTAAAGTAGCTCCCCCCGTGTAAATTAAGGTGCTCTCTTTACCACACCAAATCTTCTTACCTCAGGTACAGACCTAAACCTTTGAAGAAGTGTTTATAAATCTTGAAGGGGGAGGAAAACTGATTAAAAGGCTATCGTCCATTTCCCCCAGTTATTAGCCATTTTCACATTTCCAAAATACCAAAAGCCGTTTTAGTAGGCAAGCAAAACATGTTTTAACTTACCAAAACAGTGTCCACACGTCAATTATGGCAGCATGTTTAAATTAAAACATCAGTTACAACTGAAAACAAGTATACTATACACACAATTTTGAATAAAAGTTCAAACAACGAAAAACACATTGAATTAATCGACTATAGCATTAACTTTAAGTATGGTAATTGCAACCAAACATTGATCAAACGCAATAAAACAATGTTGATAATAGCATTAGTTTATAATACCTAGATTATTATTTTAAAAACAGAATTTCACATTTTAAATGGTAACAATACCGTATATTTTACTTGCTTTGTTCAATATTATATTTAATGTGACTAAATTATATATAAATAAATATTCAAATATTTCATACCACTTACACACAGTAAGTTTATGTCCCAAAACAGATGTAAAAAAATCAACTTTTGCACTTTTTTTGCTCTAAGCTCTCAGCTATAGCCACCTATCTACGAGTATAGAAAAATATAGCTTTCTCAGATTAAGATAACTGTTAATGTATTCTAAAACCCTATCCAACAAAATCCTAACTATAACTAAGTTATTTTTAATTAAAATAATATATAAAATACACTACAGAAAGGTGTAGTATAAAAAACAATTACGATTTTTACATCACAAAATATCTCTTTATTTATAGATCACATCTATTCAACAGTTTAAAACTACAACAGAATTATATGTAAATAGAAAGAGATTGTAAAATTTAAATTTCTAAACTGTTATATAGGCGTTTCACTATTGTTGGACCGTAATGGACTCCAAGGCCCAAGGAAGTTCCGAGCCAAGTTCCAAGTGCTTGGAGGCGATGTGGTTCTTGAGATGGGCTTTTCTACGGCCTCTATAGGGGCAGAACTTACAGGTGAACTTGGCCTCCGTGTTACAATCAAACCTTTGATGATCCTGAAGATTGCGTTTGTATCTGTACATCTTCAGGCAGTTTTCACATTGGAACGGATAAGCTAAAACATTATAAAGTATATGTTAAACACCACAAAAATATTTGTAGATTGGTTAGTGATTTTGTGGGATGCTAAGATAAGATTATATTAATTTAGAAGAGACATAGGTTATATAATATGTGAAATACAAGAAAGTACAATACATGATTTGTAAAAATTTTAAATTGAAACCCCTGTAAGTTTAGTTTTCAATTTTCACTTTACAAGAAAGAGGAAACCTTTTAATTGCATGCTAAATCGCTTAACATTCACGAAATATTTTTTGAACTTCCTAAAACCCCCCTATTTTAGGAACGTCTATGATTATTTTGTGAATGTTAAGAGATTTGGCATGCAATAAATAATTATGATATTAAATATAAACTGGGCGATTAATTCTTTAAACAATTAAAGATATCTTCAAATTTGAAGGAATAAAAGAGAATTTTGAGGAATTTTTAAAATCGTTAATTTTTTAAGGATCCCAATTTAAGAATCATTCATGGACCAATAAATTCCCTAAAACACCCTCTGTTCACTTTAACGGGAGTACTTTTTCATATTTAAGACCACGAACAACTTGATCCTTTCTAAACGGCAGTTTAAATTACGTAAAAGTAATTAACTTTTTGATCGTGTCTCAGCCATACCATAAAGTTTAAATAAGTCATTTTTGTTTATGTTTCAATCAATAACAATGTGTAATTGGCTGTGTTATCCCTAAAAATAACACAGCCAATTAGGTAATAAAAGTGTTAATTTCAATGACTCAATATTAGGATCCAATTCAAATTTGTCAATGGTAGCTAAACAATGTACAGAAAACATTATAAAATGTCCTAACATGTTTTTATTTACATTCTGTATAAACAAATGTGCACTTCAAAAATTAATTCATGAGTGAACTAATTTCAAATCATTTAAAGAGTTGGATACGTTATTGATTGTTCAAGACTGTAGTGAGGTGACGGATATCTGTTCAGAGTGTTTGTTGATCAGATGAGATGTAAGATGAGCCCTTCTCCGTCCCTTGTAGTTGCAAAGGCTGCATGGAAACATTGGTTGAGTGTTGCACTCGTAGCGTCTATGTTGGTTAAGATGGCTCCGTCGTTTATATCGGTGGTCACAGGTTGGACATTTGAAGGCATATTCTGTGGAGCAGTTAAAATGTTAAATTATGGGCATGTAGGGGAGGGGGAGTAGAGGAATAAGTAGGTGGTTCCAATTTCCAACCGAAATCTTTAAAAGATTCAAGCACCAATATAAACGTAGTACTTGAAAACCCATTGTGTAAGGTAATTTGAATTATTGTTAACAATTTTAATATTCTCTTCCATATAAAAATATCACATTTTGACCAACGCGCGCAATATTTTGAATAGTTACTAAATCTTTTCATGTTATTTAAATATTATTACAGTAGACTCCCTCTTATCCGAACACCTCTTAACCGGACATCGATTTAACCACACTACACTCGTCGGAAATGACATCTCTTTAACCGGACAATTTTAATCAGCACATCGGTTTAACCGGACTAGATCAGCAGGAAGTGGGCGGTACTGTAACGACTGTTCTCGTGGGAAAGATTTGAGACCAGTGATTACATGTCTGAATACAATGCTCTCCTAAATTTAAGTCTAATATCACTGTAAACGGTCAATTTTAACGAGTTTTTAGGGACATCGGCTTAACCGAAAAACCGTTATCCGGACTGGCCTCGGTCCCGAGGAGTCCGGATAAGAGGGAGTCTACTTTAATTAATTATAAAAATTTAAATTATTTCATGTTAGTGGTGAGTGGAAGTCCCCCAGATTTAGCAGGGGTAGTTTTTGCGTGATGCATGTTTGTTATGTTGCCTTAGGGTGGTTTGAAGGAGCATTTTATGGGTAGTTTTGTGTTAAGGGTAGTTTTAAGTTTTAAGGGTGATTTTGTGTTTGGGTAGTTTTAGGTGTGGTTTTTTTGTTTATGGGTTGTTTTAGGGGTAGTTGTTTTTTGGGGTTGAAATATCCTCCCTTTGCTACCCTTAAGAATGTGATTGTAGGGATAGCAATTGTGTAGTCCATAGAGATATGTATGTGTTTTAATACTTTTAGCGGATTTTCATATACAGAATAAGGTATTACCGTAGTACTCATGGTAAGACCTGGACACGGGACCGATTTTTTTTTTTGTTTTGAGGTCCTTTTTGTGTTACCCTCCCTGTTGCAACAAACCTAAGTACTCGTTAAATCATTCTATTTGAATAGGGATAAAATGTGATATTTTTAACGAGGCTTTTTAGTGTAAATCCAATCAGGCAAATGGAAATTTACTTAGTCTGTAAGATTGCTGTGGCGGGAGTTTTTATAGTTATATATTATTTATAAATATAATATAATTTATATGTATTCTTAAATATATATATATTTATAGTTCTGTTCACTTTTTAGGGCTACTTTTTCAATAAATAAGTGAAATAGTAAAAACCATTTAATTAATAAAAATAGTTTTAAAAATTTAAACTTTATTACACTAAATATATAACTATGAATAAATTGTAATAAAATGAACTTCAGGATGCTCTGGTTTTTATTCACTTATATATACAAATTTGAACGTATGGTGTTTTTGGCCTCAGAGGACATCAAAACGACATAGGAAATCGGCCCCAGGTCCAGATCTGACCATGAGACCTACGGTAATAACTTATTTTCCCACATGGAAAAATCGCTCAAAAAATATAAATGTTTAATCAAACACACAAGCTAGATTTTTTTTGTCAATAAAACATAAGATTAAAACACTGAGAAAACACAAATGAACTTCCCAAATCAAAGATACAATTTATTAACATTTATTGTCTAGATACAATACACAAGTAGTTTGTTACACATAAGAGTTATTGCATTGTTTCTACCATTTGTTTTTCAAACATAGACATAACATCCCAATGAGTTTTTCCATGTGATTTTTGTGTATGTCTCCAAAATTGGTTGTGAGCTTGAAATTTCTTTGCACACCAAAAACAAGTTAAACCTTTAATTCCATTACAGAAGAAGTAGCAATGCACAAAAGCTTGAGGATATGATCTAGAATAATAAGATCTAGTTATGATACTTCGGGTTGCTCGGCTGTAATGATTAAATCTGTTTTTACAGTTTAAACATGTATATGTCTTGCCACTGGGATATAATTTAATTCCACGTTCCTTTAAACTATTGCCACAGAAAAGTTGCTTGTGGATTTCAACAAAGGTTGGATAGTAAGTTTGATCGCAATCTTCACATTGGATTCGTTCCAACTTAGGCTCATCTTCAGCAACTTGTCTCTGTGTATTGCTGTTGTCAGCTGACAGAGTTAGAAGCTGCTGCTTTGTTGTATGTAGATTGCTCTCAACACTGGTAGCCGAGGAAATGAGACCTGTTACAACATAGAGGTTAATGTGTGAATTAATGTAATTGATAAGGTAATGTTCGTCAAGTATAATAATAATTATTAACCTAGTTTTATTTGTTACAGGTATTGTAGTTTTAAAATTAATTTTCAAACAACAGTAATAGGATCATTTTTACTATAATTGTTGATGAAGATCACAATTCTTGGAACAAAATTTATCAGTTTTTCATCCCCCCAAAAAATAACATGCATAACACTAAAACATAAGTTTAGTGGGGAACACTGAGTAAATAAAGGTCTGATAACTCAAAAAGACTATTTATTTATTTTATTTATAATGTTTATTACATATATGCAATACAATCAAAATACACAATAAAAATCATCATCATGGACTATTTATACCATGTTCTTCTCAACAATTTCACTTTTTCCATGTGATTTTTTAAGTTTATCGAAAAAAAGATTTTTTCATAGTAAAATGTTTTTTTATAAATTATAATGAAGCTTAACTTGTATGTTCATTAACAAACTAAACTAAACTGATCCAAATTTTCACACAAACACACGTAGAACTTTTAAGACTAAAAATTTGTAAAGTAAAATTTGATTTTCCAGGAATTTCATAAAAGTTTGTTTAACAGTATTTTTAATTTTAAAAATCGAGATCCAATAAATTGATTATAGTTATATTCAGTCAATTAGTGGATACTGTAGCTTCAGCCATGAATTTTTCAAACATGGACAAACCATCTAATGGAGATTTTCCATGTGCCTTTTCTATATGTGTCCAAAACCGTTTACGAGGACAATAGGACTTTTCACACCAAAAACAAACAACAGACCATCCCGCATCACAGAAGAAGTTGTAGTGCACAAACATTTTGGGGTAAGACGTAGTTTTATAAACTTTAGCGTTTGTTCCTTTTTTTCTACAGTTCCCACATGCATAATAGCCATCAACAGAGGACCCAAAGCCTCGTTCTTTTATACTTTTACCACAGAAAAGTTTCTTGTGTATGTCAACAAATGTTGGGTAGTAAGTTTGATCGCAATTTTGACATTTGATTCGTTCCAACTTAGGGTCGTCTTCCGCTACTTGTCTCTGTATGTTGCTGTTGCCAGTTGACAGTGATATAAGCGGCTTCGTTGCTGTAACTAGCTTGCTCTCTAAACCTACCATCGAATTGAAATCTGTTACAAAACAGAAATACATGGATCAATTAATGTAATTGTTAACTAAACAGATATAATAGTATCATATTATGTTGGTCATGTATAAACCCTTAATTAACCTGCTTTTAGTTACAGTTTAATTACAGTTATCGTAGGTTTAAACTTAAGCTTTAAACTTAAGGGACACATTTAGCTCCTAGTAAAGCAACTAAAAAGAAGCCTTTTTTTAATCAACTCTAATGTTGGTTACGACCGTTTCAGAATCACAATGGCGTCAGACATAAATCTTGGCTGAAGCAGTTCGTCGAAGCTAAAACACGATAGACACACCTACGAATATTTGCAATACATATTAAAAATACAAAATGAACATTGTTAAAAATGTGTAATATACCTGCAATATATCATAGAGAAATGTTTTATATAGGCCTATACATAAAAATTTTCAAGAGGCTACTATAGAAGGTAACTCATAAGGCTTAGAGGAATGATACATATATACAAACTTTACATAAGGGCAACACCACAGTCTAAGGAAGGACCAAAGGAGGGAAATTTCGCCTCCCAAATACAATTACACCTAAAACACAAAAACAACCCCTAAACATAAAACCTACCCTAAACATAAACACCACCCCTAAAACTGACCCTTCAAACCACCCCTAGGAAACACGCAACACTCAAAAACTACCCCTGCTAAATCTGGGGGGCTTCTACTACGGTGGCGTAGTCCTGTAATCCAGCTACTAGGAGGTCACGATTTGTGGATATTTGTAGGCATGCATTGTGAATGTAATACATCAAACGAATGTAATAATGTATGTGAATGTAATACTCTCTTGTGTTGATTAACGTCCGCACTAGTGAGTACTACGACTATCCTCAGTACTATCCTGATAATTCGGGCAGTTAAAATGTGGTTCGGATTCCACTATAAACTTGGTCCCTTAGTTGCCATTGGCTGTATGGGCTATTAAGCTGTATCTAAGGAATATGTCGGCCTTAGTCACTGACAAAACTCGCGCCACTCATCCTACACTCATCTCAATTCATTCTTGGCTTAAAATACGTCCTACATTCGTATGGTCACCATTTCAAAGTAAAGTATTAAAGTATTAACACACACAGAACCTGGCTAACAGATATTTTGTAAATTGGATGTGATAGAGAATATTAATTTTATAAACATATACTGTATTATAAATTAAAACACCACTATTTTGTCACCGAAGACATCAACAACTCGTCTAAATGGCCTGGATGGGTGATGTTGTCTATATGTTGAGTGATATAGTGCCTCTTCATATTACTTCGCTGTTTAGTCCAGTAGTGACAGAATGAACACCGGAAGTTGGCCTCTTTGCCGCATTCGTTTTTCCGGTGTTGGTACAAGCTGCTCTTATGGCGATAGCCTCTTCCGCAGTTATCACAGTGGAAATCCTTGGTTTCTGAAATACCACATGTGACCTCTTTGCCGCACTCGTGTTTCCGGTCTTGGTACAAGCTGCTCTTATGGCCATAGTCACTTCCGCAGTCAACAAAGGGGAAATTCTCGTCTTCTGAAATACCAAATGTAAGATAATTTTATATGGAACATGAAGAAAAACTTAATATTGTTGGAACATTATAGCTTACTATATATTTTGCCTATATGACCAATTAAATTGGGAGGGTGATTTAAAAATGTAGAGTTATTTTTTATCAGAGTAGAAGTAACCATGTGTTCAAGAACCCTACTGGCTCGGTTGATGATAGCAATTAATAGGTAAGAGTAACAATTTCCATTTCTTAACAGTTAAGTATCCCATTAAATGCAACTTCCTTGTAAACAGTGTGAAATGTATGTTTCACTTCACTTCAATGAGACAGAATTGAAAACAACTGAAAAAAATATTTCAATGTGTATATTAATTCTGTTAAATTATGTAAACACTAGTGCAAGTTTATTGTCTTCAATGAAATACAGTAAAAAAAAAAACTACTATTGGTTCGACGTAACATAGTAACAAGACCAGGGTTTGAACCGTTCCCTTTTAAAAAATAAAAATGCTACTGTCGTAGAAAACACAAAATAAACCATAATATGACCACCACAAATAAAAAACAAACTGCATATCCGACTACAGTGCTTAAAGGGTGTCAAAAAGTAAAGCCAAATTCATAATAAATCTTACAATATTTTTATTTATATTGTATCTATACATTGAATGAATCATTAGCGTTAGAGTAAAATAGTTATATAATGTAATCACCATTTCAACAATACCTGAATTAAACATATGTGAATAAAATAGTGCAAAAATTGTAATATAACCAAACACGAACAATTATATTGTACACATACATTAGTATTTCTTGAGCAATGAGTAAAACCTAATTCAAATATACCAACACCCACTGTGTAAATTAATTGAAAATCAAGCTACTGAAAAACTTAGATAGGAGCGTCTTTTATGAGCGCCAAAATTGTAATGCCGTAAGAGGTAATGTGTAAGAGCGAGACAGTTTACCGCAGGACATGGACTCGGAAATCTCAGCTCGGGCTTTAGTAGCTATGTTGTGCCAATGAACAGCGCCGCAAGAAGCACTTGCAGACGTTCACGGCAACTGCCTTTGTAAACTACCCATACATGCTAGTAAAAACAATGAGTGGAGATTTATATAACAAAGAACAATCTATGCATCTCTGGTTTCAGAATTTTAAAGTAACAATTCTATAATGAGTTAAAGCAGTTTAAAACTGCCGTTTTTCGTCTACATTCAAAGAAGATTTTCAGCCTTTATGGTACGATATTAAAAATATTGAAACCGCAACACTCTAGATCATTTAATCCTCGTAAAAATGCCACCCTAACTTTCATTCTACGTTAAATGTAGCCTTCGGAAACACGGTTACCCCAGACCCTTGCGTTTACACAAAACGGAAGAGATAGGGCGGACCCTCGTGGACAGACCAAAAACTCAGCTCAGAGTGCACGACCCAGTCAACTTATCTAACACATCAATGGTCAACTCCATTGAACGCGTCTTCTCTATTTCCCTTCAACGCCATCAGTCGAGTCTGCACCTCGTCCACGATATAGTTTGTGATGTTGCCAAGGTTGTGTTTGCCAGACAAGTGTATCTTGAGGGAGCTCTTCTGCTTGCATCTGTATGGGCAAAGATGACATTGGAAGGCCGGAGCTTTGCCACACTCGTGCTTCCTATGCTGATACCAGCTGCTCTTATGAAGATAACGTCTTCCGCACCCAACACACTGGAAATTCTTAGTAGGCATATCTGAAATACCAAATGTAAAATCATTTAAGTCAGGATCGTGATGAAATACAACATTTTGTTTACACATATTGATTGAAATACTGCAACAATTTTTGTAAAGCCAATAAAGTAAATGAAAAACCATATAAATCCCGAAGTACCCAAGAACTTTTGAGAAAACTAAAAGTCACACCCCCATAAACCACATACTTAAAATGTTCGTCATAATGAAAAACTTGCGCAAAACTATCCATTATTTTATGAATTGTCCTTTAAGGTCGTAATTCCTTTCTAAAGGGAACTTTCCAAGTCCTAATGTTAAAATACCTCAGCTGTAGTAATTTGTTTGTTATTCCTTTAATTTATTAACATATTAAAATCAGGCGTGATTATTTGTTGGTATTACTGTATTCTGTTTTCTTTATTTCAGCTTAACTTAACGAATCAATAGTTTTTAATGATTATGAAGTCAAACAGGGTGAAGCCCGTGGGTAACAGCTAGTATAAATAAACAGTTACCACATACATTTGTATTTCTTGAACGAGTGAAATAGTTAGTAGAAGTAGCATTGAGCTTGAATGATTTGATTGATTAATTTAAAATTCTTAACGTCAACATAAACAATGAAATATGGAAAAAGCTATTAGCAATTATTTGATTTTTCAGAAATTTAACTATATGTGTACAAAGATATTATTTCCGCATTGGCTAATATATTGCAATAATTAGAGAAATGTCTTAAACAAGATTTCTATTGAATATAATATAGCCTTTTTTTAGACTGTCTGCAATGATGATTAATTTCATTTCAGTGAATTCATATAGAAGAAAATAGCTCAAAATTTTTTTTTCAAAGTATATATTATATATATTATTGTAGACAGACTTTAAATATAATATTTGTAAACGATAGTATTAGTTTTCTGTCTACTGTAATACATAAAAAACTACTGTAGTTCTAAATCTTATTCCTGTACTTTATAAATCCGAAATAAACTGCACATCTGGCCAAAGTGTGTTGAACAGTGTAAATCAATTAAAACAGAATCTTTAGTAAAAAAGTTTATTAAAATTCTTTATAGTTATATTGTATGTATACATTGAATGAGTATTAACATAACAGTAAAACGCTTATATAATGGTAATCACCATTTTTAACATACCTGTAATAAACTGAATTAATCTATAATCCACCTAAAGTAAATGAAGTACTGCACCAATATAACAAAACTAACAAAGAAACATTACAAAACAATATTGCTTAACAATTAACACACGTATGGTCACAGAGTTCTTGAGCAAAGAGTAAAACACAAATAAAACATATTAACTAAATAAGTATAAAAAATACCGAACAGTATCATAGTACGAGTAACACAGAGCGAACATTATTGAACAAAATAATTACAGAAAGTAAATATAAATATTCCAATCATTGTCAGACCTAATTCGCCTAATGGGCTTGACAACGATGATGTCCATCCAAGATCCAACAGAAATCAATTTCCGCTTACAATTTATATGTATTTTGAGTGTCAACAGTATGGATGTATGTTTCATGTGTTATTAGACGTATACGTACGTACGTTTTTGTATACCTTAACTTTCCGTAAATTTGCTAACACAAAACTGATCAAGAAGTTAGTTACTAAATAATTACAACAAATTTAAGAAATCAATATAGTACATAGCATTAAGATAAAAATCATAAACTATACTTGATTCTTAGTACTGCAATTACATTTTGATACAACATTAGTAACTTATTCTAAAAAGGCAAAGAACAGTACGTCATTTTTGAGAGAATAATAAGCTTCATTACCATTTAAGCAATACAAATTTAAAAACGAAGCCAATAATTTGCAAGCATTTAAATTTGTGCAAGAAATTAAACATTTCTCCAAGCAATTTTCTTATAATTTCCACTACACTGATTGAACATTTTACATCTAATCACTTAATAAAATCCTAGATAATTATAAATTATTCTTCTTAGAACAATCGCTTATTCTAAGCCTTTTCAAAATTCTAGTAACGTATCAACCCGTTGGCCGTATCTCCTCCCATTCCCTTACACGCCAAGCGCATCTGCACCTCGTCTACGGCAGAGTTTGTGATGTTGCTAAGGCTGTGTTTGCCAGACAAGTGTATCTTTAGAGAGCTCTTCTGTTTACACTTGTATGGGCAAAGATGGCACTGGAAGGCTGGCGCTTTCCCACACTCGTACTTCCGATGCTGATACCAGCCTGACTTGTATTTGTAAAAGCGACCGCACAACGGGCACATGTAGTTACCTGGAAAATCATGGCTTTTAACATTTAAAGTACAATAAGCAAAAACGTCTCGTAGGGATTGGACTTGTTAAAGGTTTCAATGACATGTGATAATGGGTTGAAACTCACTATCTAGGACTTACTATTGAGGGTCTTATTGGATTCCACTGTATTTTTAAGTAAGCCGCAGATCCTTGAATTAAATAAGGTCAAGGTGTGTTTTTTTGTGAAATGTTCTCTGTTAAAACTACTGTAACAGGATAATAGTGTGGTAAAAGGATAATGGTGTTTGTCAATTCGTTGATTAGATCCTCGAAGAGCCACTGTTGTAGTAGATAATTTCTTATCGGGTTAGGTGCCTGTTTATTTACGTATTTACCTGTAAAAAGTTTTTTCTACAAACCGATATTGGTCTCTGTACAAATTAAAGACTTTTTTTTATGATTTGCTAAAGATTGTGTATTTCTGTGAAAATAATGCCAAACTACAATTTGGACTAATTATATTTAAAGCACCATTTGAACAGAAGAAACCCGGTATAAATTAATTGTATGTGCTACAAGTCATTGCTGATCACAGATTTGCCAAAAGTTGGTATTGTAACAACGTAAAACTAAAAGCATAATGTTCAAAAAAATGAATTGGAGGTAAAAGCCAAAGTTTTTGAAGGATTTAAAAGCTGTTATGGTTTTGCAAACTTTGGGTTTTGTATATACCTGCTTTTAGTAGTCCTAAGATTGCACTCTGTAACAAGGTTTGGACAAAAACTGCCATCCTCCGATGGATATCTTTCTTAAGGTCACAATTCACCTGATATATATACTATAGTCTGTATGACATAGCCGTCCCATAAACCTTCGTCTACCTGGGGACTGGCCTATGGTAGAAGGGAAAGAAAATAGGTTCCATCAAGGAAACTATAGAACAGGTTGAGAATGGACTTACGTAACCAACTACTGAAGATGATTTTTATCTGTGGCATAAGCAGGGTTTTGCACTGTTCTCGTTTCAAAAGTATATTTATCACAGACATCTAGTTGTTGCTTTAAAGGAAAACTCTACAAAAATTTAAATAAAACCATAGCGTTTTACAGGTATAAAAAATATATGTAAAATCTTTACCAATTAAATATTTCATTTAACCATTGGGGTACTTGAATATTTTGTGAAATGTCAATCACGATAGTAAAATCACTTGCAAGAAAATGTGTTAGTAAAACACCTACTATGTGAGTTAAAATTTTAAACACGTCTCATAACAATACAGTATATATATTAACTCAAAATTATTACAATTCATGCAAACCCCTAGAACTTGCAAGAGATTGATTCCTCTAGTGTTTTTTTTTTTCAATTTTGAGCAATAAATGATTTTCTAAAGTGGAATAATTATAAACCTAGCAAATCAAAGGGAAAGAAGAAAGGTTTCAATACACCAAAACCAAAAATCTTTTGTATCTATAAAGTCTTTCTAATGATATATCATGAAAATAGTACTGATACATCATAATCTGTTTGTTACTAAACCCAATCCCAATACTATAACTCCACCAATATGCTCTCTTTACCGTATAAAGGGCTAAAAAAGTATTAAATGGGGGGGAAGCATGAAGAAGGGGGGTACGAAAGGGGGAGGGGAAGTATGAAAGTGAGGGGGGGTATAAAAGGGCTAATGATTTTGTGCTAGTTAAAATTATTTGTATTCAAAATTTAATTATTAAACTGCTTACAACTACATAATTAAATGTGAGATCTATTTCTTATAAAAAAATCACAAAAGTCTCTTGGAAGAAAATTGTTGACCAGTCGTACTTTAATACAAAACCAGACATTATTCAATAAGTAACGATTGCTTAAAAAACAGGGGTTACTAAAAAATTTAAGTAACCTTACTCTACAGCATTAAAATAAAACTATTTAAGAACTACTGTACTATAAACAAATTAAGTATTAAAATTAACAAAACACATAAAACTTCAAAATAACATAGGTATAGAAAGAGATCAAAATGGATTTCCTTTTTGTCACAAAACAAAAATGAGATTTTTCTTACATTACTGTTAAATTACATAATTTTTCATGATTGCTATTTAAGCATAATCAAAGGCAAGAGTTTTGTATACATGGGGGACCTTTTCCGTTAATTCACTACCACTATTAGAATGTTGTTAGGTTAGGTTTTTCCAACTCAATACTAAACTCAACAGCAACCTAACATAACCAAACCAACGTTCAATTCTCTACCACTTCTATTAATAATAATCTATTCTTCTAAAAACTAGTGGTAGTGAATTAACGGAAAAGGTCCAAAAATTATTCGTACTTAATGGCTGAAAACAAATTCAAAACTAAATTTTTATTATTATTAAAGTAGATCGTTGTTGCAATATAGCAATTAGTTAATTCATCACTTGTTATATACCATTACAATGTGTAACAACTTATAGGTACTTTAATAGATAATAAAAGAACCTTTCATAGTTAAAACCAGTTACAATTTCAACCAACGTGAATAAAATAATACACCTACATTTTATGTATCTTAATACATGTGGGCAATAGTTTTTTTTTTTTTTTTAGTTTCAATGTAATTAATACTGATGAGTTCCCAAAAATAATAATTTTCTGATCATTTGTTCTCAAAATAACGCACAGGTGATTTGTATAAGTTGTAAAGGTAAACAGGTTATGATGGGGCTAATATAAATAAGAATATTAGGCACTTAGATGTATGGAAAGGTAATTAATTTACAACCATATACTCTACTCTTGAATTATCTACACATTTCGTATAACATGTTGTATTGAATTAAGCCTATTGTTTTTGCAAATTAAAAACACGATACTTTATATACTCGATACTTTGAATATTTCCTTTCAAATGTTTAAGTATTGCGCCACACAAAGTTCAGTATACTACATTCCTCCACTGTACTGGTTCGCCCTTACTTCAATATCCACGGGCTCGAGGCAAATGTAGACAAATTAAATCAAAGTTGCAACAATATCTAAAAACTTAATTAGTGGACATCACTGGATAATACTATCTTGTCAAGGGTCCTTAAATGATTAAGAAGAGTTCAACCTTGAACGCCCAGGATTAGAATCTCTAACCAAATCACTAATGTGACACTGGTCCATCGACGATACCATGTTCTGGTGCCTGTGTGCATAGTGGATCCTTAAGTTTCCTTTGAGTTTGCTCCTGTAAGGACACAGTTCACATTGAAACTTCGCTTCTTTGCCACACTCGTGTTTCCTGTGTTGATAAAGTCCTGCAGGATACGTGTATCTTCTGCCGCAGTCGACGCAAACATGGTTCTTCCTCATGTCACCTGCAGGGAATGTTTTAATGTTAGTGGATTTTACTAGGTATATAAATGATGGTTAAAAGTTAGTTTTTGGACCGTTACTACTCTTTTATTTACACTGATTTTATTGACTAATTTGGTCTTTTGGGCAACCAATCAATGCCAATAAAACTAACTGCAAGAAAATTCAATAGGATTTTTATGCGAAAGTATCAAAATACTGTTTGTGGGTTATTTCGATTCATAACAAAAACCTTCAACTTTGAGTGTGACATAAACAATATTAATTTAACCTTTCAGTTTAAAGTTAAAAACAACTTTGCATAATCACAAATAACATTTAAACACAAAGTCACTATTTTTACCAATAGAAACTTTCTCATAGTTGAGTTTTTAATTGTTTTCTAGTATGCACTATTTAAATTGACAAAGTTGATTACAATGTATAAAAAATAACAATAAAGCTTGGTAATACCTAAAGATTTTAATAAAATTTTCCGCTTCTTGACGTTAATAAATAGTATAAATTTTTACACAAAAAGTATTTACCTGTCTAGGATGCAGCAGCTTTTAATCTCCACATGAGAGAAAATGTTATATTTATTGGTTAAGACATACTTCAATTGCAGAATCTTTCTGAGAAAGCTACAAACACAATTTCTCAAAGGATTGTTATACAATTAGACTTGAAATACAATTGAACCTCGACAAACAGTCTAATGGGGAGTATCAATAATTAAGACTTGTCATCAAGTTGGCTTCTATCCAGGTTTACAATATAATAATGAATTGTAGTATACTTGAAAGGTATTTAAAAATTACACTTGCTATCAATAGCCAATTAATTATTATCAATGGTCTTCTTTGCAAAATTCCACTCTATATGCAGATGGGCTGTAGCAAAATAGCTTTCGCCAAAATGGGATTTTTCAGGGAAGAATCTCCACCCTTCAAAACAGAAACTGCTTAAGGAAACTATCCTCAGAACAGAAAAGGGTTATCCCTAATCCCAACCATTCTTTATTATCTCTTGATTACGTCCACCAACAGAAGAATGAACTAATATTTGAGACCATCTCAATTCTTAAAACACAACAAAAGGTCACTGTATTGTCCACGTTCACCCACATCCAACAAAACCTCCAACCAAAGTACTTAACTAAGAGGTGCGGGGGAAAGAAACAGTTGTAGAAAATAAACTATATATTTAACATGTCCAACTAGTAATGTTTGATATAATGAGTGCGCAGTGTATCCATGCGGCTAGCCCGATAGGGGCACAGATGGCACTGGAATTGCGCAGATTTGCCACACTCATGTTTGCGATGCTGGTAGAGGCCGCTCTTGTAGGTGTATCGCTTGCCACAGTCACACACGTATTGCTTGCAAAGCTTCACGACCGCTGTGGGGCCTAACAGAAAGTGAGGTTAGAATCAAGGACGCCTTTGTTCTTGTAGATTGATTGTATAGCCTAATATGTGGAAATGTTTCAAAATGGACGTTTAATGGCTTTTGGATACTAAGCGGGACACTAACCTTCATCACAAAGAAGTAAGGGACAGAGGATGGTACACTTAAACAGTGTCTAAGGCAAATTCCCACACCCCCCCCCCTTGCCCATGTGTACTACAACGCTCACTGTGGAGGAGGACCCTGATCTCTGTGCAATAGAATTTCCACAAAGTGCTCGCAGTTCGGGCTCTTCCTTGGTTGTAACAAGTACATTTCCTCAAAGTAGTGCTGAAACCACTTGGTTGTCTCATAAGCGTGTTTCCTCTGAACCTTACTACTCTGTGCCTAAATGCAGCAAATTGTTTATTAAATTAGACTATAGCAGAATAAACCGTTTGAATGTGCTACTTTCGAAGTTTCATTTTCTCTTAGTTATCGATACTGAATTGACGGTAAATACTATAATTCATCTGATTTTAACCCCTCAGTAGGTTAATGTTTTAGAAAAAACATCACTAAGGTGTATTTAAACTTATCCTGTAATAATTTACAACCCTTTTTAAAATATCTTGATCCAATATATCAACTGTAAATCCTTTCAGAACGAGAGTAATAAATCGAGTGGATTAGGTTATTTTGTCACTACAGACGCACCTAAATGCTGATCAGTTAAGTTACTTTGATTAAAACTAAATATTTTCGTAATATTACTGTCAAACAATATACAAATAAACAAAATTTTGATATTAAGACTGTAACTTTAAAACATCTTTTGTTTACTAAAAATTTAAAACTATTGCATTATACTTGGGTAGTTTGAATCAAGACATAATGAAAAAAATTCCCAGGATTCATATTATTTCACATAGATATGGAAAATATATTTCTTTATTGATATAAAATCATGACTTTACATCCAATTATTGGTAGTAAGTAGTAAGTTGTAAGTAGTAAGTCATTGATTATTGGTAGTAAAAAAGTAATTGGAAGATGTTAGTTTAGTAATAATGAATTAAGAGACAAAACCATACTTAGTGCACGACATGTAAGTAAGAAGGTATGACACGTAAGAAATTAAAGCTTTTTGTTAGAAGGTAAAAATATTATTTCCACTTACGAATACTCTTCATCCGCATCAGTGTACAGTGTCAAAACTAATTATTTGTACATTGCAAAAATAAAAATAGGAAATCACATTCACAATCTTAATGAGACAAATTACACTTAACATAGGGATATAATGATTATTTGTAGATAAATACTATGTCAATGCAGACAATTTTGCTCATTGAGATATAATTTAAAGAATCCACACAATCAACTATCCACTTGATAAAACATTATGGATTTACTTACAAAAATGAGCATATCACAATCTATATATTAATAGGCAAGCATGTTTCTTTAAAACCTTTTTTCTCAGCTCGTGTGCATCGTAGGGAAAATCTATGCATACCGTTGGAAAGCTATTTTCCTGTAGGTGTGCAGAATCCCTTTATAAATTTAAATAGGCTCAATGATAAGCACAAAAATGAGTTTAAAAATTTGAAAAAATTAACATGGATCTTATGCGTTGCTATGCTGGTTACGAAATAACAACGAAATATAAACAGAAAATCAAAACAAATGGAAGAAACTCCAATCACATGTTTTATTTACAGTGTGGGGTGAAAATAGATAAGTGAGTACATTACATATTTTTGGTCGAGTTTCGACCACTGGACGACCTCTCGTTACTTTCTTAATCCATAAATTTAAATGATTGTTTTAAAGTTATACAACTGGTCTTAACTTAATTTTACGGTAAGATCGAGAAATTTTAATCTAATCATCATGAGAAGTCATCTCTATCAATGCATTTAGCATATGCTCTCTTCCTGCTAAGACGCCATGTTTTAGTGCCTTGTGTTTCTTCAGCGTATCCTTCCTCCTTGCCTTGAACGAGCAAGCGTCGCAGGAGAAAGAGGACACTTTGGCGCATTCATACTTCTGATGACGTTGAAGTCCTTTCTTGTATTTGTAACTCCTCAAGCAAACCTCGCAGACAAATCCGAAAACATCTGCATTCAAGACATCAAACATTCAGTATTTGTCAGTTAAAAAACTGCAAAATAATCATTTTGTATGTGGTTTATTTTTCCCCTATTATTATTGTATGATTTCTGTGCTTTGACATATTTACTGAGGACAAGACCCTCGATAAGAATTCCCTTGATAACAAGGGGCATTTTAAAATACCCATGAGAGTCTTGTTGTAGAATAAGGGCTTGATGTCCAACAGCTCAGGGGCTACACACATGGATTTAAAAAAAGAGTCTTGTTATCAATGTCCTACTGTTCTGATAATTGTCTTAGCAGAAAACCTTAAGGTTTACAAAATAAACAACATACTTTTGGCTACATGAACACATTAAGGCATCATTTCAGTAGATCAATTATAAACTCAACAAACTATAGGAACTTTGTGTAATGAATGGAACACAAGTAAAAAGGCATGACTTTTATTTGATAAAAATATAGCTTACAGAAGCCACACCAACGACTATGAATGTATTATTTTCTGACTAGATACTAGATCATTATCATTAAACAGAATAATAACAAAGCAAACAAATAAGCATAAATAGACAAACTCTTTAATTTTTTTCTATGGCACTAACAATCCTGAATACATTACAAGTCACACTTTTATGAAATATTAAATATTCATTGTATTTCCAAAATGACTGTAACAAAAGTAAAATAATTTCCAAAAAAGGTCAAAAACATTAATTATCAAAGTCTGCACATAAACCTTAGTTACATAGAAGCATAGATTAAAGGATTGGACATATTGATGTAGACATATTGAGTGGCATATGTCCACTCCTTTAATCTATGATAGAAGGGTTCTGTACTTAATACATTTGACATTTCTGATACCTGAAATAAAGCTTTTAAAGAAATCTTAGGTTAAAATTTGAACAATTTCCTTTAAATGTTATTTCATAAAAAGAATTAAACATCCTTTTACATAGATACCCAAACCAAGTCAAACCAGTCTTTCTACGTGGTCTTTGGTTTCTTTTTAAATCATGCCCATGACACAATTGAATTGTAGTTCTTCATGGCAGTAGGTATGAAAATGTGTTTCTGAGTCATTTTCAGTAGTAGTTATAAAAAGGGAGTTCTGCGTCGACCAAAGTGGTTGGGGATATAGGACTGGAGTAGCAAGGCAATGGAGGAAGAAGTGAGGGGAGAAGGTAGATCTTCGTGAAGGTTGAAATGAACATAAAGGAATGGGGATTGGGGTCATCATGTGTTTCTGTTAGTAAATTTCCCTGTCACCAAAACCGTCTAGAAGAGAATCAGACGCAGCGTGTTTAATGTAGTTAATTTCCTTTTCCGACAGGTGCCTCAACTCTGTTGCAGTCTCTATTCCATGCTTCATGCTCAGATGTTCCTTCAGCTTGTACCTTCTGGACGCTCGGTAGTCACAAAGCTCACAGCTGAAGTTGTTTTTGGAGGATCCGCACTCATGATAACGATGTCGGTTTAGCGACTTCTTATACTTGTATCGTTTTCCGCAGTCTCCACACATGTAATTTCCTGTACATCATAGGTGTATAAGAAAATACAAATTCAAAGCTATATTCAATCATAAGTGTAATTTTAATAACTTGTTATCACTCTTTAATATTGTAAAAATCTAATGATGGGATTTATTAATTAAATATTTAAATTATCAGGTTGGTAGTCAGAATTTAAAATAAAATCTCCAATCCTAATGTGTTATACTCATTTGAATTTTAAAGGTGTTTAGTGACAGATTTAATAATAATTTTAACAATAACTAAGTTCATTACATGAACCTTTCTCTTAAATTTCTTACATATTTAAGTTAGTCTCCAGTACAGGTAAAGTAGTACGGTAGTTAGTGACAGTTACAAATAGTTACTAAGTTATGCTTTAAAAACTGTTATTTTGTGGTAGAATGTAAAATTAAAGCTTCAGATGAAATAAAAAAAAAATTATTTATTTGAATAAAAAGTTACATAACAAAAGTAGTTCTTCACAACAATAAATATAATATCACAAATCTATAATCAAAAGTAATTCTGACGTATCTCATTACACTTTAAATATGTTTAAAGTTTTAATAAGTCTTAAAAAACCCAAAATAAGACTTGGAAACGTAAAAAAAATTGAACTTTTTTTTTTTTTTTTTGAAATTGAAATTTCAGACTTTTCAAAAAATCACAAACATGATAAAATATTCAACATAGACAATAGTCACACAGATTCAAGATGCAATCATATAAACAGCGGGTTCCATTCTGCTAAATCGGGGAAGTTGTGGGCAAAGTTGCCGGAGCGATGTTTTACCAACACGTGACTGCGAAGATTTTCCCGCCTTTTTGCTCTATGTGGACAAAAGGTACACTGGAACATCGCTTCTTTTCCGCACTCGTACTTCCTGTGCTGAACGAGCCCATGTTTGTACTTGTAGGAACGATTGCAGCGCTCGCATGTATATATAGTTTGATTCCTTGCTGAATTTCCAGTTATAGATGATGCTGAGGAAGGAAATGAACAATTAATACATTTTCTATGTTTAATGAAACAATAAATTTCCAACTAGGGTTTTGTAACATTTAGTGTTTGCTTCGGAACTCGGCCCGATCTATTTTTGTTTTCAACAGATCCAGTCATAAAAACTAGTTCCGGTCAAAAAAGGAGGTAAATACAGATTTTAAAAAAAATATGCAATAACATGGAGAGGTAAGGTACCGAGGAAACACGCTATGGGACAACAGTGCGCTTTCAGCTCTAGAATGGTGGGACCAAAATATTCGTGTGACAAGCAAGAGCCCAAACAGCGGGATCAATTCCTATCGCACAGGGCAGAGGGTCTTCCTCCACAGTGAGCATTTTCATTGTACTATGTGCAAGGCCAGGGGGGCTTTGTCCTAGACACCAGCATAAGTGCTGGACACCATATTAGTGCAGCAAATGTTGCTGCAAAACACAGATAAGTACATGTATTTTTATCGGTTTTTACAGGTGTCTGCGCATACTATAGTTGAACAATTTTGTATCGTTTTTCTTCTAAAACAAAGAAAATGAATATAAAAACTTGACATTGTACCTATAGCATTTGGTTCTTTGAAAGGTTCTATACATTTGGAGATGACTCACTATTGTTAAATTCTGAATAAATGTATTTCAATTAAATTGGCAAGCCTATTTTTTATGGACATTTATTTTATACAAAGTCAACTTTTTGCTCAAATGTACCAGAACCCTAAGCAATATGATTCTGGTACATTTGAGACAAAAGTTGACTTTGTATCAAACAAATGTATCTTCTTTTAGCTACAAGAGATTATAGTTAACTTAGAGCAATGTCATAGGATTAAAGCGGAGATGTGTAACTTTTTAACAAACACCACTAAAAAAACTTGGCGTAATGAGTTGATACCAGATATTTTGTGGAATTTATTTGATACTGCAAACAAAATCGCTAATATTTTTTAAATAATTTTATTTACACCAACACTTTTTTGTGTTTTATAAATACATGTCTCTTCAAGTTTCCTTTCTGGGATGTCTTAAATGCACAAAAAGAACACTGGAACATAGCTTCTTTGCCACATTCATACTTCTTATGCTGAAACAATCCTTGTCTGTACTTATAAGTTCTACTGCAACCCTGACATCTGTATGGGTTTTGGCTGCCTGAAGTGCTGTCAATGTCATACAAAGCTGAAAGATTAAGATATAACATGTTATATAAACTACATGATGTTGTAATAATACTTGGAACCTCGATAAGAAGACCCTGACAAGTCACCTTTGGTAACAACTGTAATTTTCTTATCCCCTTGAATTTATTTCATCTCCAATCACATGTTATTGCAAACCTCAATAAGACAACCTTGACAAAAAGTCTTCTAATCCCCATAAGAGTCTTGTTATCGAGGTTCTACTTTAAAAATTGGAATAGCCCCATGACAGTCTTGTTATCAAGGTTCTACTTGAAATATTGGAATAGCTTATTGTTCCTATAAAGGATAAGTAAAAGTAAAGGAACTAAAACATTGTTTTCCTGTAACAATTTTATTTTCAAATCATGTTGTTCTTATACATTAGTTCTCCATGTAACGCAAACATGTGGAGCTTCAAGTTGCCCTTCTGTTTAGTTCTTTTTGGACAGAACTGACATTGAAACATGGCTTCTTTACCACACTCATTCTTCACATGCTGGACAAGTGAATGTTTATGCTTGTATGTCCGATGGCAGCTCTCACATCTGAATATCTGGCGAGGTCCAGTATCCTTTTTAATTGTGTAAGCTGAAAATCAATATACAAGTAAAAGTAACACCATTTCTTTAATTGATAAAAGAAAAAATGTGAAATTAAATCAGATTTTTTATTGAACACATGAGCATTACGGAACACATGTATTATGTACATATCACTGAATAAAGATTATGCGGCAAGCATATTTATGATTGTGACAAGGCACATTGTAGTCTACCAAATTACAAAGTGGCATTGAAATACACGTACAAATGAGAAAGTAAAAACTAATTGCTGTGTAAATTTTGCACCACGATTGATATTTCTTGGCGCTATGAGAATATTATTTTGTCCACGGATGAGAAGGTGCCTAAAATATTTCAATCTCAGTTAAAGCTCAAAAAGGTACTAAAAGTAGGTAAAACCCTACTATGCAAAGGGATGATTTCTTTTGTTAATCATATGTAAAATTATTGCAATATTTTTCAAATATCATAAACTACCCATAACCAAAAATGAATTTCAAACTAAGAAGAAAACCCATAGCTCATTATTGCATAGTTTACAAGCATCTAAAATACGAACTGTAATGAAATTACTAAAAGTATATAGGAAGAATAAAGTTGCTAGATGTTAGGAAAGTAAGTAATTAAATGTATTATGTAATGTACTGTATAATCAAACTTACAACCAAATGTGGTAGATTTAATAGAAAAAATAGATAACAAATGTTGTGTATATAGGTGAGACAATAAGCAAAATCGCCCATTCGACATGTTGAGGATTATTTTCTTCGATTGTAGCATTGTGAGACTAAAATTATCAATGCAGTACAATTTATACAAATGTTTGTAAACAAATCACTTTTTTTGCTAGGATATTTTGTTCTCAGAGTCCATTATATTTATTATTATATTTTTAATATGTTGAATAAAATAACTTATTGGCTTTATCTCTTTAGATAAAAAATTATGTTTACTAAATCAACTACAAATAAAACTAATAATTAATTAGACAAGTACAAGAAGTTAAGCATTATTTCAGTTTCAAAAAAATTTTACTTTAAATTACTGTATTCTTTTACAGAAGATCTCCATGTTTGGCAAACAAGTGAAGCTTCAAGTTGCCCTTTTGTTTAGTTCTATGTGGACAGAATTGACACTGAAACATTGCTTCTTTTCCACACTCATACTTCACGTGTTTCAAAAGTCCTGTTTTGTACTTGTATGTTCGATTGCAAGTTGCACATCTGTACATGCCAGTGCTTCCTGTTTGGTTTTGAATGTCGGAAGGAGCTGAAAAATCAGGATGTTTGAATTTCTTTATATGTGTATGTGCATGTCTTTTAACATTGGTGTATCAATTAATGGCGCTATTTAACAAAAGGTCGGCGTTTAGTAGTAAAAATAACTAATTTGGACCGTTTTTACAAAAACATAAAAATACCAATGAGGTAAAATTCAAATAAACTCCACTAGGAAATATATACCAAAAACTACAAACAAATGAAACCTACTACAAAATAGCTAAATATACAATATTTTAAGGAGTGTCAAATTAGACATTGTAAAAATCAACTCGTTTTATTCAGATTTATCAATGCTGCGTGCTTGGTGAACATATGGATCTTAAGGTTGCTCTTCTGTCTGGATCTGTGTGGACAAAAGTCACACTGGAACATAGGCTCTTTCCCGCAAGCGAATCTTTGGTGTTCAACCAGCTTGTGTTTGTACTTGTAACTGCGGCTGCAGGTTGTACACGTGAACTTCTCTAGAGGTCTTCCAGCATACTGCAGAACCGCAGACAATCCTGCAGAGCCAGATAATGTTAAAGATCAAACAATACCGTTTGTATAGTATCTAAAATACGATGGTTAGTACTTCTGCTGGTACGCATTAGATTGGTGAATTTCTAGCATATTGCAAAACTGTAGACAATCCTACAGAAACAGTGCAAAAAACCATGTTTAACAACATATTATTTTGTGTATAATATCCACAATGCAATATTTTGTACTTTTAACTGCGGCTGCAGGTCGTATAAGTGTATTTCTGCAGATCAACTCTAGTCTTCTGCACAGTTTAGACAATCCTACTGATGCAATAAAAATATATTATGTTAAACGCCAACAGTTTTTTTTAGGATCAAAATGTCATCAAAATTTATTTTTTCTAAGTTTTACGAGGAACATTTTAAGTATTTGAAAAGGAGTATTTGAAAACACCCAGTAGTTGAGAAGTTACTAAACAGAGCAAATGAACTTATACAGAACATTTCTAGCATAGTGCTGTGCAAATAGGTAATGTTAAACATCAATCTACAGTACATTATTATTGGGATGTATGGTACGATTGGGGTTGTAAATGTTATGAAATTTATTGATAACGATGTTTTGATCTGAGCATTTTAGATAATTAAATATTGAAAGTCTTAAAGCTAATTTAGAATTAACTTATTTACTAATTATAATTACATAAAGAAGATAGTTAAGTAATATAGTCTGTTCCATTGTTTTCAATTTATGTATATTACTAAGAGAAAGATGGTGAATTTACCACAAATTTGCTTTATTAAAGCTATCTGGAAAGTAATGTACTATAATAACTCCTCTTTTATGCTATTATAAAAAGATGTTATGGAAAAATACGAACTGTAAACACTTTAGCCCTACTTAACACAAAAATATTATAATTTTCACTACATATTTCTAGGGTTCTCTTTCTATACAGTATATCCACAAATAAAAAGGTGCTAGGTGTGTTATTACATCACAGCATTGTAAAGTGAGCAAATAAAAACAAAGTATTTAAAAATAAAATGTGTATTTTGCTATTACAAAATAGCAATCTCAATGATTGCATGTTAAAAAAATGTGGCTTTCCCAGGAAAAGGTAACCAAAGAGTCTTCTAATTTGTTATCTAAAACTGTCAAAACTATAAGTACAAATAAAACAAATCAAAACAATAATCACAAAGGGTTAACATAATCAATGTTAGGTTTCTGCGGAAAGATTTTAGGAATAATTTGAACTTTTAAATATCAAACTTAACAAAAGACCTATATGGACTGGTTCCAACGAAATTTATACTTGAATGGAACACAGTTAAATAAAACACCCAACGATTAAAATATTTAGATAAAAATATCAATTGACAGCAGTAAAATATATTCATGGCTCAATAAAATTACAATAATTTTTATTCTAAAACTTGTAGCAGAGCTTGGCTGTGAATTAAGTAATCACCATATATTGTAAATGATACAGAAAGTTTCGGATAAAATTGGACATAGTTGAATTTAGGCTAAGGTAGCGCTAGTGTTAACCATTATGGTTTCATGTATAAGTAAACACATTATTATTCTCATTATATTCTTATCCTGCCCATAACGTAATATTACACGTAGTAATTTGGTACTATACCAACCACACCTATAAATAAATACCCTTAAGGTTAGGTTAGGTTAGATGGGTGGTCGGTATGATGCCAAAGTACCTATTTTTCTTCTAGGAAAAATAAAATAAAACCTTATATCAACTTTATAAATAAAAATAAAGTAATCTAGACTGTAACACACACACAGAGTGGCTAATTCAACAATTTAAAATAGAAAATCAACTCTAGCTGTCCCGACGAATGGGATGTATACTTAACAAAAAAACAATTCCAAAACTTCAATGGATTCAGATACATCCATAGTCAAAATTAACAGTATCTCTTCATGTTGCATTTCCTTCATTGGATTCTTCCATTTCCTCCTCGTTCTTCGAGTGCTTCAAAATGACGTGGGTCCGTAGAATGCTATACTGCTTCGCCCGATGAGGACAGTGCGGGCATTGAAACGTCGGTTCTTTTCCACACTGAAAGCGCTGATGGTACGAAAGAGATTTTTTGTATTTGAATTCCTGTCCACATTTTTCACAACCTAGCTTCGGTCTGACCCTGGGAGCCAACCGGCTTTCAACAGTTCCTGAAAGTAAGATATCAAGAATATTAAGCAATATACGATTTCTTTTACACTTTTAAGGGTATTAAGAGTTCTAAAACGAATGTGGTTGAATTAGTTGCAAATTGTTCCCAAGTTTGATATAAAGAATTCCAGGGCTAGGAGATCGCGTATTCATGAACACTACGGAAATATTTCTAGGATATAACTTAAAATATCTATTTCAACACGAAAGTGTTATATTTCAACACGACACGTCTACATAACACATGTCTAAGTGCCATAATCCTACAAACTACAGTAGTGTAAAATGACAGTTTCTAGTGCATTTGACTTTGTATTTTGTATACATTTCGGGTGGGATCCTCTATGCAGATACGTCACTTGTCCAAAAGTGATGAATCTTCAAAGAGAATGTTCATGTTTTTGTAAACCTGATGAAGAGTTAGTCCAAACCGAAATCTAAACATAGTCAAATTCACTAAAAGAATTTCGTGGTAAAATACCTATTCTTGATTACTTATAATTTACTGAGCAATTCAGGAGGCTTAAACAATGGATAATTGAACAGGTGTTGAGTGCAATCCCCTATTTAACTTACTAATAAGTGCAAGCTGGACACCAAGCATTTAAGCTGATCCCTCCCGCTAGCTACAACACAGAATAGTAAGCTCAACATGAATTGAACACGCAAGGAAATAGAACCCGTACATATAAAAAGACCTTCGAGCAACGAATTACTCAACACAGTCACTGTGTTACCGTTGGCCCGGACGAGGGACTCAGGAACACAAAATTTCACGTGCGGGGTGAAGACCAGCAAGTGGGAATTATTGGAAAGACGGAAATAATTTGAGTAAGCGCAGGGAAATCACTTTGGGTACAAATAATGAACAATACTTTTCACCACGACGCAAAAATATGCACATACAGAATATCAAACCTTAGTACAATTAAAACTGTTATATTTCTTAATTAAAATAAATTTTATATCAAAATAATAGCGAAAAGGTTATGGCAATACTCCCTGACAACGTATGAAAATAAAAAAGTTCTAGTCCAAGGTTATCTTTGTTATTCAGTAAATCTAAGCTAAAAACACAACAACACAAGCTTCTGAATATTTCGGTTCACTTTGTATTGTAAAAACAGTAAAAACAGCTGATTCCAAAAATAAGAATACATTTTTAACAAAAACACTAGTGCTTGTAGTGATCAGTGGATAATTGATTGGCTGCAAAGGAAAGTAAATTTAGATCAAGGGAAAATCATCCAATCGTTTTTTCATGCTCTAAATTAGAGCTAGGGAAACATTTACTTTCTTTTAAATGAACTATTATCGTAAACATCTACTTTCTGTACGGTGTGATAAAAATAAAATGTGTTTCCACAAAAATTGCCAATCGTGCTACAATCTTGGAAGACGGTCTTCAAGGGTTAATATAAACTGGTGAATTTGTTTGGGGATATGAACTATTACATTAACAATAGGAAATATTATAAAGAGTGCAAAATATCACAAAAACACACATTAAAAGTTTTGATTTATTGGCTTGAAAATACAAATTCAATAACAAAGACAGTTTTCAAACACTTTCTTAAATAAAGTATAACTTAAGTCGCCATATGTATCCGATAATGGACGCATACATAGCAAAAATATATTTTGACTATTCAGTTACGTACCATTAAGTATATTTTTTGAAAAAATGAAAATTCATTTCAGTTACAGTAAATGAACAGAAAAATACAATAAATTGGAAAGCAATTAGGTGGTAACATATAACACAATATAATAGGGAGAGGACAATTGAGCTGTTAAAATTGGCCATGGTTAACAAACTATTTCGTTACCTATTAGTTGTATACAGTTAGTAAAAAGTACTCAGTACATAAAAAAAGTATAGGTGTAAAAAAATTCTGATACAAATACAAGAACTGTTAACAATTCCACACACACAAATTGTGATGGACAGTTAAGAAGAGAAAATGAATTACACTTAACTAAATCTAACTTGTACAGCTAAACAAATTTTTAATCCAATAAATTCATTGAACAGATCAAAAGTAGTCAGATTGAACATGCTTAAGATAAGAACTTAAGTTAAATTAATAGGAATTCAATAACTAAGCTAATACAAAATATTATCAAGCAAAAATTAACATGCAACATAGTTAGTGATAATCCTAAGGGCATTATCAGAACAATTTCGTTGTTTTGCGACTTTCATCTTAATACATAATTATTATCTAAAATATCTCCTTCAGGTCACGATTCCTATAGCTTTGTCTTTCTTCCTGATTTCAATTTATGAGCCGTTCGTTTTGGCTTCTTCTCTCTGTTTCCTAAAGCAAATAGAAAATTGAAATAAATTAACTTACAATAATATTTAATTGTCGTTAGGCTACGTCTTTGATTTTTATGAAATTATTCTCATAGGCTAATGTTAACTTACCTTTCTCCAATGTATAAGTTACTTAATCACAATTTAATAAGTATAATATAGAAATACAAATTTAAATCCAAAGTTTTTATGTAATTAAATTTAAAATTTAATTTAATTTAATCTGATGGGAAGCTTAAAAACATAATCAAACAGCATTTAATCATTCAATCTAATTACTCATAAATCCCAAACCCCGTGTATAAGGACTGTGCATAATTTAAACACAATTCCAGCTTATTATTTATACCTATAGATGGATAGATTTATGCCTATAGCCTATACATTTTATACACAATTGACAGTTTTTATACACAATTTATAGTTTTTATACACTAGGTTATAGATTTTAATAATAATGTAGTGCAAAGTACAATAAAAATGTAAACAAGAGGAATAGCATTCCGTCTGTTAGAACATTATACCCTTTTTAATCTTGACTTTCATTTAAGTGCCCAATCGCTAATTGAAGATTTTCTGCACATCCTAATTTTACAGTGTAAAATCCATAAATTTTGCAATGCATGTATTATGTCAAAAGAAATGATGTCGTGTAGGCACAAAAAAATAGTAAAAGAAGATTGCAGTTTTGTAACAATTAGAGATTAAACCGTGGACAAAAATTATTATATATAATAAGACTGTCAAGCTATACGGTGGTTACCATAGCTTCTGGCGCACACCGCTGGGAGCGCTGTGTAATTATGTTGCACGTACGCCGTAACTACATAGGGCTTCCACCGGTGTGCGCCAGAACCTATGGTAACCGCAGCACAGCTGACGGTCTATATTAAATTATTTTTGTCTATGATGAAACCAACCTGGATTCCAATCTATATCTTGCACTAACGAGCCATCTTGAAATTATGGGTATGATTTCTTTGTTGGTTGCTTTCTTTGCAGTTCTGACAACTTCTGCAACATGAATAATAACCTGGTGTATAATCCTTGAAGAAGCAGATAATAACACAGAAATATCTCCCCATAAATTTATAAAAAATTTTTAATTTTTTGTTCTCAAATAGATTATGACTTTTTAAATAGAAACTAAAAACTAGACTAGACTTTTTAGAATAGGTTATTGTTTACCGTATTTTACATTGGATGGTATTTAAAAAAATAGGACTGATATTTCGCTGACGAATCGTGTTTGAAAAGAATGTATTCTTGGTATTCGTATTCTTTTGAGCAAGTAAACCTATTCAAAGATTTCTTTTACTTAAGCGAAGTCCAGCCTATACGGTACACTATTGAATTATTGTCCGTTTTGATTTTTGATATTTTAATATGCCGTTTTGATAAGTAGAGCCTAGATAATAAGTTTTTCGTTATTAAAAAAGACTTGTAATCGAGGTTCGATAGAGAGTTGCAAAACATGTGATCAGGTGTAATATAAATTAAAAGGGGGGTGTTGTAAAGGTTCCACTGTACCATTTTGTATTTGTTAGCATTTGTGTTTTAATTTTATTCTTTTCACGTGTCTTTTCACTAGTTTAGAACTACTAAGGAAGAATTTATAGAGTCATTAAGTTTATTTAAATTCAAGGAAAAATGTATCGTCCATATGAGTACTGAGATTTTTATTTTTATCAATTAGGATGCAAAATGTCACCAACAGTCTTTTTATACAATATAAAGTCTTGTTACGGAATCTTACCAAGAATAATAGAGTTCAGTCTAGCTAGGGCGAAAACCTTTTTCCCCTTCTTTCCCAAATAGCTGTAGTGCAGGGCCAATTCATCAGTCATTAGATTTTTCAAGATTGTTACAGTCATATCCTTTGCACGAAACCCTCCAAAGATGGTCAAATACTGCATCTAGAACAAAAGTGATAAAGATATCTATAATTTCCCTTAAGAAAACCTTGAAATATTATTTACTTTGGTTTCTGTAATTAAATAATGTTTTCTTCCACAATCTTATTCAAATAATGCAAATGCGTTGTGAATAAAAGATTTAGGAAACGACAATTTAGCATTTCAGCATAATCCAAAGGCAAGAATATAAAAAATCTAAAATAACTATGACTCGAAACCTGTGTACATAATCATAAAGACTATGATGACAAAAACATCCGATTTCAAGACAATCCTATGTCAAATAGTTGCGAAGTTATGATGTCACAATCGACACCCCTCTCCATGAGTGGAATAAGGAAAAAGTTTGCCTCATTTTCAGAGCCTCCCTTTCAATTTTTTAGGATATATTGTCCAAGAAAAACAATGAATAAATTAAATTGATGTACAAATTAGCAATAACCCATTACCTCTGGGTTCATTGCAAAACAGTAGGTGATGCCGCTCATCCCCTTTAAACTAGCAACATTTTTCAGATCGAATTTGTATATAGTATACTGTAGACAACGTTTTAAGTGAAAAACACATTTAAAACTATCTATTTATATACATGCTGGAAAAAGTCCTGGGACAAAAAAGCCCTACATTCCCATATTTCCACCTATCGAAAGCTCAAAAATTTAAAACAATAGATTTGGTTTCCCAACCTACCAATACGTCACGTTTTTTTTTATCCTCAAGCTGTTTTTCAAGTGCTTCCAATTGTTCCACTGACGAAATAGGTAGCAAGTTCTTTATTTCTTGAAGAAAACCGTCTTCAACCAAAGATGAATTGATGGATTTCACACTAAGTATTTTCAACCCAGAGTTTCTCGATTCGCACCGTCCTTTGACAACTTCTTCGTACACCAAATCAGTTTTTAGCTCAATGTGTTCCAATAAAGATTGCAATCGGTTGAGTTTTTTAAGGAAGACTCCCTTCATACCTAAAATAATGAACTTGATTAGTACTAAGTAGCATTTAGACTGTGGAAATTTCTTACAATATGTTTTACAGTAATATTTATAGTTAACATATTTAATAGTAAAAGACAGTTAGAAAGATTCTCAGAATTAATTCCTAAAGCTTTTCCTACTTAAATCGTTGGGGGAAATCAACTAGACAAAAATGCTATAGAGGTTATATTGCTGTAAATGTCTTTTAGCCACATGAGCCTTAAGATTATTCTTCTTCTTCGCTTTATAAGAACAAAACTCGCAAGCATTCTTTATTGCACTCGTCAACACTAGCGCTTGTAGTGATCAGTGGATAATTGCTTGGCTACAAAGGAAAGTAAATTTAGATCAAGGGAAAATCAGCCGATCGTTTTTTCATGCTCTAAATTAGAGCTAGGGAAACATTTACTTTCTTTTATATGAACTATTATCGTAAACATCTACTTTCTCTACGGAATGATAAAAATAAAATGTGCTTCCACAAAAATTGCCAATTGTGCTACAATCTTGGAAGACTGTCTTCAAGGGTTAATATAAACTGGTGAATTTGTTTGGGGATATGAATTATTACATAACAATAAGAAGTATTATAAAGAGTGCAAAATATCACAAAAACACAAATTAAACATTTTGATTTATTGGCTTGAAAATACAAATTCAATAACAAAGACAGTTTTCAAGCACTTTCTTAAATAAAGTATAACTCAAGTCGCCATATGTATCCGATAATGGACGCATACATAGCAAAAATATATTTTGACTATTCAGTTACGTACCATTAAGTATAATTTTTGAAACAAATGACAATTCATTTCAGTTACAGTTAATGAACAGAAAAATACAATAAATTGGAAAGCAATTAAGTTGTAACACATAACACAATATAATAGGGAGAGGTCAATTGAGCTGTTAAAATTGGCCATGGTTAACAAACTATTTCGTTACCTATTAGTTGTATACAGTTAGTAAAAAGTACTCAGTACATAAAAAAAGTATAGGTGTAAAAAAATTCTGATACAAATACAAGAACTCTTAAAGTTAACTAACACAATTCCACACACAAAAATTGTGATGGATAGTTAAGAAGAGAAAATGAACTACACTTAACTAAATCTAACTTGTACAGCTAAACAAATTCTTAAACCAATAAATTCATTGAAGAGGTCAAAAGTAGTCAGATTGAACATCCTTAAGATAAGAACTTAAGTTAAATTAATAGGAATTCAATAACTAAGCTAATACAAAATATTATCAAGCAAAACTTAATATGCAATATAGTTTGTACTCAGGGCATTATCAGAACAATTTCGTTGTTTTGCGACTTTCATCTTAATACATAATTATTATCTAAAATATCTCCTTCAGGTCACGATTCCTATAGCTTTGTCTTTCTTCCTGATTTCAATTTATGAGCCGTTCGTTTTGGCTTCTTCTCTCTGTTTCCTAAAACAAATAGAAAATTGAAATAAATTAACTTACAATAATATTTAATTGTCGTTAGGCTACGTCTTTGATTTTTATGAAATTATTCTCATAATGTTAACTTACCTTTCTCCAATGTATAAGTTACTTAATCACAATTTAATAAGTATAATATAGAAATAGAAATTTAAATCCAAAGTTTTTAAAACCGTGGACAAAAATGATTACATATAATAGACTGTTAAGCTATATGGTGGTTACCATGGTTACCATAAGTTCTGGCGCACACCGCTGGGAGCGCCGTGTAGTTACATAGCACGAGCGCCGTAACTACATAGCGCTCCTAGTGGTGTGCGCCAGAACCTATGGTAACCGCAGCACAGCTGACAGTCTATATTAAATTCTTTTTGTATATGATAAAACCCACCTGGATTCCAATCTATATCTTGCACCAGCGAGCCATCTTGAAATTATGGGTATGATTTCTTTGTTGGTTGCATTCTTTGCAGTTCTGACAACTTCTGCAACATGAATTATAAACTGTTGTATAATCCCTGAAGAAACAGATAAAAACACAGAAATATCCCCCCATATATTTAAAAAAAAAAAAATTCTTTCTTCTAAAATAGCTAATGACTTTTTAAATAGAAACTAAAAAATAGACTAGACTTTTTAGAATAGATAATTGTTTACCGTATTTTACATTGGATTGTATTTAAAAGGTGTTTAAAATCAATGTTTTAAACGCGCAAAATATGACGGATATATTGCTGACGAATTGTGTTTGAAAGGAATGTTGATCTTGGTAATAATTTTCTTTTGACCCAGTAAACATATTCAAAGATTTCTGTTACTGAAGCGAAGTCCAGCCTAAACGCTGCAATATTAAACTATTGTCCGTTTTGAATTTTGATATTTTAATATGCCGTTTTGATTCAAAGTATAACCTAGAAAATAAGTTTTTCATTATTAAAAAAGACTTGTAATCGAGGTTAGATAGAGAGTTGCAAAACATGTGATCAGGAGTAATAGATATCAAAAGGGGGGTGTTGTAAAGGTTCCACTGTACCAATTTGTATTTGTTAGCATTTGTGTTTTAATTTTATTCCTTTCACGTGACGTTTTACTAGTTTAGAACTACTAAGGAAGAATTTGTCGAGTCATTAAATTTATTTATATTCAAGGAAAAATGTATCGTCCGTACGAGTACTGAGATTTTTATTTTTATTAATTAGGATGCAAAATATCACCAACAGTCTTTTTATACAATATAAAGTCTTGTTACGGAATCTTACCAAGAATAATCGAGTTCAGTCGAACTTTGGCAAAAACCTTTTTCCCCTTCTTCCCCAAATAGCTGTAGTGCAGGGCCAATTCATCGGTCATTAGATTTTTCAAGATTGTTATAGTCATATCCGTTGCACGAATCCCTCCAAAGATGGTCAAATACTGCATCTAGAACAAAAGTGATAAAGATATCTATAATTTCCCTTAAGATAACCTTGAAATATTATTTACTTTGGTTTATGTATTTAAATAATGTTTTCTTCCATAATCTTATTCAAATAATGCAAATGCGTTAGAAATAAAAGATTTAGGAAACGACAATTTAGTATTTCAGCAGACTCGAAACCTGTATACATTATCATTAAGACTTTGGCGTGATGACAAAAACATAAGAATTCAAGACAATCCTATGTCAAATAGTTGTGAAGTTATGATGTCACAATCGACAACCCCTCTCCATGAGTGGAATAAGGAGAGAGTTAGCCTCATCTTCAGAGCCTATCATTCAATTTTTTGGGATATATTGTCCAAGAAAAACAATGAATGAATTAAATTGGTGTACAAATTATGAATGACCCATCGTCTTCGGGTTTATTGCAAAAAGGTAGGTGATGCCGCTCATCCCCTTTAAACTAGCAACATATTTCAGATCGGATTTGTACATAGTATACTGTAGACAACGTTTTAAGTGAAAAAAAAAACATTTAAAACCATCTATATATATGCTGGTAAAAGTCCTGGGACAAAAAAGCCCTACATTCCCATGTTTCCCACTATCGAAATACAAAAATTTAAAACAATAGATTTGGTTTCCCAACCTACCAATACGTCACGTTTTTCTTTGTCCTCAAGCTGTTTTTCAAGTGCTTGCAATTGTTCCTCTGACGAAATAGGTAGCAAGTTCTTTATTTCTTGAAGAAAACCGTCTTCAACCAAAGATGAATTGATGGATTTCACACTAAGTATTTTCAACCCAGAGTTGCTCGATTCGCACCTTCCTTTGATAACTTCTTCGTACACCAAATCAGTTTTTAGCTCAATGTGTTCCAATAAAGATTGCAATCGGTTGAGTTTTTTAAGGAAGATTTCCTTCATACCTAAAATAACGAACTTGATTAGTACTAAGTAGCATTTAGACTGTGGAAATTTCTTACAATATGTTTTATAGTAATACTTATAGCTAACATATTTAATTGTACAAGACGGTTAGAAAGCTTCTCAAAATTATTTCCCAAAGCTTATCATACTTAAATCGTTGGGGGAAATCAACTAGACAAAAATTCTACGTAAGTTATATTGCTGTAAATGTCTTTTAG